GCCTTTGGGGATTCTTTAACCAGGTTCAGACTTCATATAGTGGAAGAATTCAGGAGGGGAACCCAAGGCAGTTGTGCACCAACAGCCAGTCATAAGGTGAGAGGATCTAGGCACGTCTTGACACATGCTGCAGTTGGGAATAACTTGACTTGGAACAATACCTTGATCTTTCTCTAAACTAATCCCACGCCCCTAAAAAGCTGAGTTGTCTGCATTTAACAACCCTTCTTTAATGATGACCTTTGCCACTAAAATTACGCTCATCTTTATGGGAAACACTTCTGATATAATTTTAACATCTTATTTGTTGGGGAGAATCAAGCTAAAGAAGCATTTGAAGGTGTCGGGATAAAACACGCAAAGGAGCCCTCCAGAATAACAATGGCATCGTTTACACTGATTGCCTGCTTATGTGAGAGGTAACTGGGGTGCTTTCAGCACTGATGATATGGGGTCAAATCTTGAATGTACATTAGCCCTGTGGAGCGATGTCTGGAATTATTATTGCTGTTTGTGTTACCCAACTGAAAATGCAGTGATGCTCAGGTGGCTGCAGTGGGAATTCTTTGCAATATAAAGGAGGTCAGGCAGGAAGACCAAAATGATACCTTCTGGCTCAGCATGTTCAGGTTCTGTGTAAATACTGGGTTTAGATTGTTTCTCCCAAAGTCTGTTAGGATAATTAAGGCTATAGTGGTATGCTGCACATGACAACTGTGCTATCTCTCTAGGCTGCTAAATCAATAATCTCTAAAGCAAGCATTTTCTCCCTTGCAAATAACATTTGCTTTACTACCTGATTTGAAAATGCCTTTGTTTTTGGTGTTTTGACTCAATTGCGCTAACAGGAAAAACTTATTTTGCTCACTGACTATGTGATGCCTTGGACTCTATGTAAAGTCTGGAATTTAATGGACTCTCTCATATATGAAAGAATGCATTAACTATAGGTCAGCACAGTCTGTTTATTGCCTTGTTTTAGTTCAGAGAGCTATTATTATGCTGTCATTTTTAAGGTAGGCTGTTTAAAGGTAATTATTTAGTCTATCCAAAGTCATGCAGAATGCCAACACATAACCTCTGCTTGTTTATGTTGATGATATCATGTAGAATCCCAGTCCGATGTTAACCTCAGTTTACCCTTGGGATAGCTGACTGTTAGGGAATGAAGAGTTTTTGTTAATGTTCTTTTTCTTTTTTACTTGTCAAGGATTGTCATGTGGCTTCCCTGGACTTGTCACTCAATCAAAAGTAATTCAGAAAAAGATTTCTTTTCAGTTCCCCTTTAGAATTGAAATTCCAAAGTGTTCTATAACAAGGGTAGAAACCATGAGCCTGAATCTATTTTTACTCTTTGACACAATCTCATGTATTTTCCCATGATGATATTTGTAATCAGTGTGGGAATATATACTAGGGTTGGGCACTGAATTGTGTAAAAAAAGCCTTTTCCTCTCTTAGGATGGAAAGGCAAAGAACCCACCAGGGGATGGCCTTATTTGACAGTGACCCTGGGAAGGGAACTCCAGCACTAACTTGTTATGAGCAAGAAACGGCCTGACACAACTTCTGAAATCTAAACTCTTTTAAAGTATCAACGCGGGCATGCAGAAATGGAGGTTTTCACGCTCTCTAGTCCTTTTGGGAAGTGGAAATCTCAATGCTTTTAAAAAGTTAATCCTATGTGACATACCCAACATCAGCATCTGTGACAGAATCAGCAACAGAATCCAAATCATCAAACTTCCTCCCAGTTAAAAGACAGTTGGTGTCATCCTAGCCTTTCAGGCACCAGACTGTTCCTCATGAAACATTCAAAAGACTGCAGCAACCCAAAAAGGAAAATGAAGGAGGAGGTATTTTCTTTACCTGACAGACATAGTATGTAATTACTGTAGGCATATCCTGATGCTTTGTATTGCTCATCGCTGCCATGTCTAAGAATTTTTTTAATATTTGGAGTACCCTAATCACATCCAGTTTTCATAATATGATTGCATTATGAAATGACATTTCACTGTATAGTATAGTGTGCACATACCTGCTTTCATCACATGTTGGCATGTAGTTTGCACCTCTCTGAAACTATGCACATGTCTACAAATTGAATTATAGTTATCCTAAATAACTGCATGTAGGGAAACCTGTATTCTATCACAAAAGCACCTTGTTCTCCTTTATCATAATCCATTTTAAACATGGATTATGCTAATGCAGAACAAGGCACTCCTATTTTGGAATAATTTTATTTAGGAATAGCTTTTGTGCTTTCAGCTCACACTCAAATAGCTTTGAAGTGTAAACAAGCCTCTAACGTCTCTCTAGTATTTCCATTCTGCTCTCTGGCTCCTCCTTGTTGCCTGGCTCTTCTTTCTAGGAGGTCCGGAGAGAAACCAGATCTGCGGATCCTGTCAGTTAGGTCTTTGCTTTCACAAACTTCATACCAAGTGATTTTTCTGGTCTAATTCCCATTTTACATGCATCCCTAAAGTTTTTGAAAGGAGTATTTAGATGCAAGTTTCTGACTCTGACCCATCTCCACAAATTACTCTAGTACATATTTCTTCTCACGTTTTACTCAAGGGGAGATCTCTTTGGAAGCCAGCAGTTCCTTCTGGACCTTTTGGTTATTTCTCTGTTTTTATCAGCCTCTTCTGCTACCTCCAGAGAAAACCAACAGGCCGAAACTCTGAGAAAGTTCCCATGTAACAGCTGCTGTAATGAATCAGACCCAAATCAGA